TATCATAACAGGCTGGTTAAATACGTAAGTAACAAATAGATGTTTCGCGAGGTTTTGATTTCCCTCAACAACTTCTCATTAACGTTGCAATTACGTTGTATGGGTATGTTATTATGTTCCCTTAAAACAACATCGCCGAAAGGCTTGGTAACGTTATGTGCTAGCTGGGAATACATATTTGATTGCTTTTACATAGTCAAACAATTTTAATTGACTGTATTAATTAATTGGTGGCATGACATATAGGGTATTCCTTTTAAAAAAATGAGAAAATCGTTACCTATCGTTTTGATACACCCTATATAGAACATAGCGAATAAATTAAGTCAATTAAAGTTGTTTGACGATGTGAAAACAATTAAATATAAAAATGTATAAGTTTGGTCAGCCCCTCGTTTATGGACTACCCTGTATATTTAAGAACATTTATTAAACATGGTCATACAACTTTTATATTAATTTGTTTTTCGTATTTCCAATAATTAAACAGCTATCGATCAATTACTATTGGGAGGTGTTGGTATCGTTGGATAGGTAAATTTATAAGGAATTTTATGCGAAAATAATATACAGTGTGTTGCATTTGACAAAATTGAGTAAATTGAACTTAAAATTAGCCATATTTAAGACATGTTTTAAAAACACTCTGTATAAAATAAATCATTTCTATCACCTCGGAAATAGAAAGGTCTACAAAGATTAACCAGAAGTCCCTTTTTTTGACAAATGGCGTGAGAAATATTTATTAATCTTAAATTTTATTAAAAAGTTATGAATAAAATTGTTTCTTTAGCCCTTCATTCTACACCAATGGGTTATGGTAATTTGTCGAAATAGCGTGTTAACTAATAATAACGATAAACTATCATATACATATTTTAAGATAAAATATTTTCTGTAAGGGAAGATATTTAGAAAATATGTATTTATGAAATTCACTTTATCACCCTGTAAAATAAAAACTGGGACGTTTATAGGAAAATTATATTTAGCTTTTCTTTATAATTGATTAAGATCTACAAATCCCCAAAATAACGGTACTTTATTCTGAAACACCCTGTATAAATATATAAAAAATTTAAAACCTTATTATAAAACTCACTTTTTTTTGGAAATAAACATTTGAACTCTAGACGTTTCACCAATAATGTGAGAAGTGTTAGCCCCCCCCCCCCCCCCCCAAGAAAACAACCTAGCTACGCGCTTGTCTGTATTACATTACACAAAGTGAGTCCACTGATGGACTTAATTATATTTGTAAAAATATTTATTTTAAATTAAAAAATAGTATATTACATTACGAGTGTGGAAAATCACTTTTCACACAAGTGATGTACAGTATTTTTCTTACGACCACAAAATAATTTCATCAAAAAATGTAAAACCAGGTTATTATTATAATAATTAAAATGTATTTAAAAAAATAATTAACAATAATCGTATTTATTCAATTTTCATATTTTCTAAACAAAAAAAAAAATTAAAAACAAAAAAAAATTAAAAAAAATTCTGGCCCCGCCAGGATTTGAACGCGGTCGCTCGACAGGTCTCAAATGGCAAAGTTGATAAGTTTGACGCTCTAACCATCTAAGCTATTAGGTCATGTGTCAATTTAATGATCTAATCGGTTATGTGCTTAACCAAAATAAAGAGCAAACATATCTAAGTTATTTTAAAATTATTTTAATAATAATTGTTAAATATAAATATCTAGGATCTAATTTACAACAATTTCAATAATTTAACAATCATATCGATTTTAGTATTAATATGGACATTACAAAGATCAAAATAGAAATGATTCATTTGACATTTTGTGACAGCTGCTGCGGAAAGTAACATATTTGTACACGGGTGGAAAGTAAATTCTTATTCATACGCGTGTGATATAGGGCACTTTCCATAGGACTATATAGTGTGATATGTGTCACTTTCCTAAGTGGTCGTAGGAAAAGTTATTTTTCATAATTTCTCAATGTGAACCGAATTTATTTAACAAGCAAAAGAAATTATGAAGAATTACTTTTTTAACTTAAAATAAATATTTTCACAAGTAATCGCCATGCATTACCGTCTCGATGATGGTGGGTGGGGTTTTCTGGGTTTTCCTCACCTTCCTCATCTTTAAGTCGCCCCGGAGCGCCACGGCAAATAATAATAATAATAGCCGTCCCTTTCCCCGCACAAGCTCAGCTTTTGGGGTTAAAATTCACTCGTAAGGGGGTGAATTAGGGAGAGTATTATTATTATTTTATTATAGTTAAGCCCATCCGTGGATACACTGTATAATGCTGTAGAACTACTTCACTTTATAACATCTATAGAACGTTTCAGCGCAACTTTCGGGGTAAGTACCGTAAAGCTAGTGTGATGTTTTTCGAACTTCACTTTGTAACATCTGTGAGATGTGCTATAAAAGTCTTTCCGTTGCGGACATTCGGCGGTTGTAGAGATATTAGGGTTTCATTAAAAGTACATCGCATGCGAGCTTAAAGAGCCTAAAATTGTAGCTTATTAACGTAGATGGGATGTTTTTGTGCTAGCTGGGATTAAGCTAGATTTTTTAAATGGATCACCCTATGTTTTATCTTTTATTATTATTAAAATTATTTTTTTTTTTTGAGATTGGTCATGAACTGGAAAATAATGTTCTAATAGTCTATATATAATAACTCGAAACAAAAACTATTTTACTAATTGAGTTAATAACTCTTTTAAATACCTAGAACATAAATTTTTAAAACGTGTTTTCTTACCAAAATATAATTTGATGAGTGCATGAGCTGAATGAATGGGAAGTAGAAAGGTATCCAAATAGCGCATAAGCCCTCTGATGAGCTTCAGTGCCGTCATGCGAATCCCAAAGGAGGGAACGAGCAGGCTGGGCTTTAAGCTTAATTGAGAGGAGTCAGTGACTAGACCCAAGACTGATTAGGGGATCTGCCGGAACCCCCTCAGGGGGAGCCTGAAAGGGTAAAACTTAATATTTCCGGCCATTTTGTTTAAGTACTGTCGATTCTAAATTATGTCTAGTATGTTTGTTCCAAATTCAATCGCTTAATAAATAAGACATTAACGTGGCCCTGGTCTTATTGTCACCCGGTATACCGGAAGTAGAAAATTGAACGCTAGAAAATACCCTCGAAGGCATTTTTTTATTGTTCTCAACGTCTAAGCGTATTATTTTATTGCAGGCAAAAAAACAAATATTCACCGAAACGAAACTTTACTTTAAATTTAACATGTCACAAGACCGCTCCTACAGCCCGGACATAGTATATATACTTTGTTTGCTCCCCACCCCTGCATCCAACTACAAAAATCAGACAAGAACTGATTGCCGCTTTTCGAGATTATTAGTTACTGCATGTGGAGATCGCAAAATCATCGTTTACTATGACCGTTTTAAAGCGATCAACCGGTAATTTGCGGTATTTACCATTTTAATTAAAGCGATGTTGGTTATTCTTGGTTACTTTCCATTGCGTCACATTTAAGCCCTTTGAAACGTCATTAATTATAATCGGTAAATACCTGAGTTCGGACTTGGGTTAATAATGATAGTGTCATAAAGTTAGTGTTTTTTGGTTGGATTATAGAACTTGCTCTGTCAAATTTGAAAGTAACATTATGTATATATAGATATACGTAATTTATCAAATGTGTCTGGTACAATGCGAAAAAAAAGTGTAACACCGTTTCTTATTAAATTCTAATATCCAGTCTTCGAATCCTTTTTTTTGGCACCATATCAACATCACACAATTTTATCCCGACCAGTTTCTTAAAATCCATGCCATCACTAACAAGGTAGCGAAATAAATTTGTTACATCTTTGTCCATAAGCAGAAGACGAGGAAACATTCAATTTCAACTTTAGAGCCAATAAAAATTAACCTAGAAATTAAATGTCAAAATTTCGTTTCTTTCCTAAAAAACGATTTAACGTTAATGCGTTACAATAACCGGTTACCTTTTTAGGGCTTTGGTCACGTGATTTCGAGGATAACCAAGGGTATAACCGAAGTGTTCTCTGGTTCATCACTTTAAAACGGTTTATACCTGAGAACCTGACGTCACCTAGAGGCAAGACAGCAAAGTCCCAACTGCTTGAGATTTACAGATAATACAGATTTTAAAACGGTCTGTTGTCTCACGAGGCTTGTCGTCTACTGGCCTCAATGGCTACAGTCTTCAACAATCAATAGCAATACCCGTATCCCTCTAGATCTGGTAAAGCAAGAAATGGGGGCAAATAGCGATATTAAGGCCTAAGGTCCATCAAGCTGTCAACTAGCGTTATAATCAAACATATTCCGATGAATACATGTTACCTACATCCCGGGTGTCTTTAATCTAAGAAGACATGAAAAGTATCGCTTTTTCCTATAAAAGTACTATTTTAAGCTCCGATTATTTCTTTACGACTAGCAGTACAAATTGCCCTAATTTGCCTGTCATCTATTAGTTAAGATTAGAGGTGTTTGAGGAGCTCGATGTTTGACTTTTGTTTCAATTTTCAATAATTGGTTTTCTAGAACTAGAACACCATCATTTACCAAACACGTCCCTCGAATTTCAATAACAAAATTTAGTAACTAACTAAAATCACAAACACCCACACACCCACCCACACACAAATAAACCAATCGGACTTTCGTTACGCGTTACGAGATGAATTAGAATATCTATTAACTACAATTTGGTGCAGGGAAATTGCCGACAAATAATTGGATTAGAAATCCATGTTTTGCATAATTATACGATTTCATAGCCCTTAAAATTAACCATATCACGGAGATATGTTAAGAGAAAATGAACATTTCAACACAAGCAAAAAATCGATACAAATTACGGGAATGATGCGAAGCTTTAATTAAAATTGACGTGTTTTAATTTAAATCAGTACAATTGTCCTTCGTGATTTATGAAAAATAAATAAACGATAGTACTAGTAATCGTTTTATTATAAAAAATATATCTATTTAATATAAACAATAGTTCAAAATTATTATATACGGGTTTTACAGAGTGTTATAAAAAGGTAGGCAATAGATTATACATATTCAGGGGACGAAATCAAGGCTATTTAACTAAATTTACTGCTTTAAAAATTGTTTGTTAAAGTTTGGTACGTTGATATATAGTTCAAAAAGATCTAAGAGTCAGAGTTTATTAATAATTGAGTACTTCAAATATCTACGCCACTGGAACAAGGGGTTGTAAGTATACAATTTAACCAACTCGCTTACTTCAAAAAGGAACTCTTGATAACTCTCGATAACTTTCTGTTTTCGAAATATTTTTGTTTTATAATCGGCAGCATATTTTAACAAAATTTTAAGTTACTAAAATATAATTTAAAATTTGCTTGGATAAAAATAAGATTTCTTAAACATATCTCGATACAGACTTATTATTAACTTAAAGAAAGTTTGGTTAAAAATGTTTTCCAACTATTAAAACTATGTTAATGTAGGTATCAAATGAGGTACATTTAGTCAAATCGATTTTGTTTTGTTCCAATGAATTTATGGTCCGCCTTTTTGTAACGCTCTATAGAATGTACAAGGTTACGTAATTCAGAAATAGAAATAATTTTTAGCATATGTATATATAAATTATTTTTCCATTCTTCGACACGTTAAAAGCTTTCCTGCAAAAATTCACACTAGCTGTGAGACAAAGAGAGCACTATGGAGAAAGTATGTAAGGTAACATTACGCACTAAATAGAGATATAAAATAACAGTTTAAAATCCGACCGTATAATTTTTGCACTCATCTGTTATTTAATCAAAATACAGTTTTTATAGATATTTGTTGATAGAGAAATACGAATTTATCGGGTTGTCTATCAAAATATGGCTGCAAGTAGTTTAATTAAATATTATTTTTTTTTTTTCTACTTTAAGGCATATTTCGGTTATTTATGATTATACAGTGTGTCGCATTTAAGATGAAGACACCCATATATTTTAACTATCTAAGTAAATACAGATTTGAAATTTTGCACAGTCATACAGGGTGATGGTTCACAGTTTTCAAGATACTCAACTGATATTTAAATTTTAAACACGGCCTACTGCGAATCCACAAACAGGGTCAATTTTCGATATTTTTCTTTGCGTTAGAGATTATTTCGAATATTATTCTAAATCCACACACCAAATTTTATAACAAAATTCGCATTTTTAGTTTTTTTCATTATTTTGATCAATACACAAAATTATTAAAAAAGGATTTTTTTTATTCGATAAACTAGTGTGCCATAGAAAGGATTTCACAAGTGTCAAATTATTCCTATTCATGGCACACTAATTTATCGAATAAAAAAAATCAACTTTTAATAATTTTGTCTATTGACCAAAATAATGAAAAAACTAAAAATGCGAATTTTGTCATAAAATTTGGTATGTGGGGTTAAAATGATATTCGGAACAACTTTTTCAAATAACTTTTTCTGATATCTCTAACGCGAAGAAAAATATCGAAAAATTGCCCTGTTTGTGGATTCGCAGTAGGCCGCGTTTAAAAATTAAACTCCAGTTAAGTATCTTAAAAAATGTGAACCATCACCCTGTATGACTGTGCAAAACTTCAAATCTGTATTAATTTAGATAGACAAAATATAGGGGTGTCTTCATCTTAAATGCGACAACACTGTATAAGCAAATTATTTCAACAAAAATTGTTTGTGATGTTATTTTCTATAATTTTAGTTCAATACTTGATTTCTCTAAAATAACCCGTAATGTAGAAATTTGAGGAAAAGTGCAAATATTCCTGTAGTTATTAAAATATTGAGTACGGCCCATCTAATCAAAAAGTGTTTCGAATATGAATTACAGATAAAAATTATTCAAAATATTATTTAATAATTTTATTACCAACGAAAATAGATACTGAAAAAATCAAATTTTGCACTTTTCCTAAAATATCTTCATTACGGTTCATTTTAGAGAAATCACGTGTTTGACGAATATAATAGAGAATAATACCAAAAACAACTTTCGTTAAAATAATTTTCTTTTATAATTACAAATATAACAGAAATATACCTTAAAGTACAAAAAAGTACTTGCGATCATATTTTGATAAGCAAAGTCGTATTTCTCTATCAATAAATATCTATAAAAATTGTAATTTGATTAAAAAACAGAAGAGTGCAGTAACTGTCACATTCAAAAATTATTCTTGTTCTAAAAATAATCATGAATCGTTTTAAAAATGTGTTTGTTCTTTTATTTATTTTGCATATAATACTTAAGTCTTAACATTTAATATTTAAAATTTAATATGTTTATATTCAACCCATAAAAAAGTAAGTAGATTGTTTATAGATAGCGCAGAATTTTTATTTATATAAAATATAAGTCTCCATATTATTATGTCAAAAGTTTTACGTTAATTTACGAGTAGGAGTAATTCACATATCGTTGGATGGAAAAATATTGTATAGATCTAGTTAATAATTGACAAAGAAAAAATTACACAATAAAAAAATTTATGTTCACGCTAATTGCGATTATCTTGCCTAGACAAATACGGATTTAAATTACGTATATACAGGGCCGTCTTAGGGGCGCGCAGGAACAAAGGCGATCAAAATTAAGGGCAACCGCAGACCATTAGCAGAAATAGTTAATTACATTTACTTTTTGAATATAAAAATATGCATAACCAAATTTCATACTTAAGAGCAAACTGGACACCTTGAAAATTTATAATTTCATCAGAGCCTTTATTTTTAGTCCAATTTTTGTAAAATTTTCAGGAAATACCAATAATAACATTTATTTTGAAAATGTTAAAAAATTTAAAAAAAAATTACGTGACATTCTGTATTAAATCTATGAAAATTTGAAGTATCTAATAGTTTTTAAATGGATTTCCCTTTTTTTTCTGTAGAGTGCTGCCTTATCGTTGAACAAATTTAATGCTCTCTATATTCTCAAGAAACATAATATCGCGAAGTATTCCCAGTGGCGCGCTAATAAATACAATTTTATATTTGAAACTCATTAAAACATGTTTGCTTTCGCGACAGGTCCAGTTTGCTCTTTAGGCATTTCACAGAAGCTAGGCTTAAAACTTTAGTCCCACTTTAGTATTCACATTGCAAACAATTTGTTTTTTTTATGCTGCAATATAATAAAAATTGATTTATTGTATATTTTTGGTTGTAAAGTTCGCAAAAAACAACCGCACGTTTGGTGTCTACTTTCGACAAAGGAAAAGCCGTTACTTTAGCTAAAGAAATTGACATAGAGCTAGTTTTTCAATAAGTTTATATAAGACGGAAAAAACAATTAAATCTGGAGAGCGATCATTTCCCAAAATAAAAATAATAATAATAAAAACTATCTGAGATCTACCATGTCACAGAAACATCTCAGATTTGAGTATAATAGCAATTTAAAATATTTGTGAAAATTTAGATCACTCGTAACTTATTGACGAGTGCGCAAAAATAGAAGCCAGAAAAATACCTACGTAGTAAAAACCAATTTTAGTTCGGTTTTTTTTTTCGTACTGCAATCTGCAACTTGTTTCATGTTTAGATAAAATGCATAGCCTTTGTTGTGAAATGTTTTGTTTTCATTATTTACTTTAATATTTTTTTTTTATTATAAGTATTAATAAGGTTTATATTTTGTTTTAACGATGTTACTTGTTAAATATCATATTTTTAGTGAGTATTTAATAAAGAATTTTTGTATAAAAAATGTAGTTTTAAAATATAAGGGCCGCATTTTCATGCCTGCACAAAGGCGGTAGAGGGGCTAAGAACGGTCCTGCTTGTATATTACGTATATATCAATAAGTATTTTTATAGCTATTTTTATATTTTAATACAAACAATTATCTCTCGTTCAAATAATAAATTGTTTTATTTTAATTTCTAAAGTCTTTAATTTGTCCACAATGCTTAAATATATATAGTACGTTAAATAAATAATTTATTTATAATAGTTGTAAAACACATTGCCCATCTCTTGACCTCTGTGTGGTTTGGTGCTTGCATATTTATCACGTATTAGTTTTGTTTTTCTTTGCCTATTATTGAATAGAATTTCTACATTTACATATTTTAACTTTGAACTAATGTGGGGTTGCAATCTCAGCATGCAACATTCATGCTTCCATTAAAAGACTACATTATTCTCTAATACATAAATAACTATGGAGTCATCCACAAAAAATGTTTCTAAAATAGGCCATGACAGTTTGGATTTAAACCAGAGGCGTTCATAATTATCACACTATTTGTCGCCTACTTTAGATTTTTTTATAGATCACTCGTTACAATATCGAAAATGACGATCCACAATAATAGACCAGATCTGTACAATAAAACAAATACAGAACGATATTTAAGCTCAAAATCGAAGGCTACATCTGACCTTTGTAGATTACAAATTACAAACTCAATAAAACGACAAAATATATATTTTAGAGATGACAAAACTAATTTTCTGTAGAAAATCAATGATCTTAATAAAACATTAAACAATTTAATTCAGAATACCAAAAGTTTTAAGGTCAACCGACTGCTAAAGTAACTACTACTTAAAAGTAATTATTTTTCAAAGTTAAGTTATGGTTTGTTAACACAGTGCGCGACGCTCGACGAACGCATACGTCAGAATCTGTCACGTTCGACTCACGTCCGTTTTAGCAGAAATGGTTTGTTATAATATAAATCAATTCAACTTGTTCTGTTGATACATGCAGGTGAAAATGAGTTTCGATGAATTAAATAACGCGTTAGTTGCGATTATTTTAATGGAAGAAGAAGACGAATAAGAATTGCTAGTTTTTAAGTAGTAATGACCAAAATATTGTAGATTTCGCTCTTCACTTGATAAAGTGCGGGATGTTCCTCTATCAAAACAATTAAATTGCATCCTCTTCAGAAGAAAACAACAGTTTCGCTTTAATTATAACACAAATAATCCTAACCTCGTTTCACTTGACAGTCTACTGTATGCTCAGCTGAACGAGTGCGACTTAATTATGAAGACTAGAAATAAGGAGGCGAATCGGCCTTGGTCAAATTTCAAATTTCCGTCCCTATTTTTATGGAGTTCCAAAAATCTACTGTAGTTGGCGGGTGGAAAAATAACGACGTCTATTTTCTATGCAAGTCAATGGGAATTAAAGTGATTTTTGTAAAATTTAGTGAAAAGAATAAAAATAAGCTGAAATAAAGAACCTGACTACAAGTAACAATGAGTAACAAAAAACGGCAAAGCAGGATTTGCTTCGTTCCGGATTGAAAAACGGGATATAAATCCGATATAAAATTAAAGAAAACACCAGGAGATAAAAATCCAAGTCTTTTTAAAGCTCCTAGTGTAAGTAAAATAATGTATTTATTTCTAAATAATATATATTTATTGTAAAATAGTCACAACCCGTATCTTACGGAGTGGAGTTTATTTAATTACAAAATTCTATAATAAAAATAATAAAGTCATAAATTCTGACTTACAAACAACAATAATTATACATTAAATTTAACTTACTAGAAAAGAAAATTTGCTTTTTTTATATTTTTTTATGTTAGATGAAAACTCCAATTTAGTCATTGCAAATATTTTTATAAGACCCTAAACGTTTAGAACAACGGCAGCATGCGACCTACACTTTTTTTTTTGAAGATGATATTTTAAAATTTGATGAGACTATTTTAACTAATGGTACTGTTAACAAAATAAAAGGAAAGGCCGAGATTAAAGAACGAAGCAATACCATGTATATTCCCGAATCTCCTTTCATACTTGTCCAGTATTAGGAAAAGACGAAAACCACCATTGAACCGAACTGAATGTTAGAATAAAAAAAATGAAGAAAATACTAGAACCTATTGCTGCTAAAGAAACTATTCACCAGGATGTTGAAATTGTAGTTGTCGAATACAAAATTACCACAAAACTGTTCTTACCAAATTTCACCATTTAACAAACCTTTTCAAATTTGGTCATAACTAATTTTCATTTTATTTAGATAAAATTAAATAATGAATAGTAAATAATGTTCAACATAAAGACTCATTTATAATTAATACCAACAGTATTTTCTGTACTTTAGTTAGCAATTAAAACAAAGACTTATTTACAATAATTATAATCAACAGTATTTTCTGTGTTTTAGTTAGCAATAAACAATTTGATTTTTATTATTTTCATAAAATTTTGTAAAATCCCTGACTAAATATTTTCATTTAAACCGTGTCTTAGTATGCCCTCTGCCCTATTTAGCTTTAATTAAAAATAATTAGCCCTACCCATCAAATTTCAACACTTATCAATAATTTTACTTTAATAGGAATAAATAGTAAATAATGTATCAAATAAAATATGTAAGACTTATTTAGAAATAAATACAACACTATATTCTGTGCTTTATATAGCTATAAACAAGTTTATTTTTATTATTTTGACAAAATTATGTATAATTCCCATAAGAAGCCATGTATTTTGAACTACGTAAACCGTACCAGCGCACCCATGCGGTTAATTATAAAAGCTCAATTGACGTGTGATTTTTGGGATCGTATTTTGAGCATGCCGATTCGCCTCCTTATCTCTAGTCTTCATAGTCCAAATCAAACTCAAATTAATTTCGACATAATCAGTCGACGTACCCTGCAGTCTACCTAACTATGCTGACTCTAACAAACTATTGCAATATACCATGTATTAACATTGTTAGATTTCAGCGGACTGTGATTTTTGCGTCGCGCACTGTTCTAACAAACTTAACGTCCTAATTTAAATATTTCATTTTAGATGATAGTGACGGGCAACATATACACATTTAATAATCTCAGTTAAATTAAAAATACAACAATTAAAATATTAACTACGGGATGTCAAATTAAAAAAAAAATTAAATAAAAATTGATAATAAATTGTAAGAATAAATTAATAACAATGGAAATTTTTAATATTAAAATTAATGGTAAAAGGAGTGTAATTAAAAAGATATTGCAAGTTTACTTAGGGCCAGTCACTATTAGCGCCGCTCTTATTTTGACATCTGAGCTTGCGCAGATCGTTTAAGTTCTAGAATTGACTTTATTAAAGATAGTACCTGTCCTTAATTAATGTGGATGTATAAGGTCAGCAAATAGGTGCCGCCTTTAAGAGCTTTCGGGTGCGCTTGTCGAAATTCGTATCAATTCGAAGTTTTTATATTAAATATTTAATATCATCTAAATCTTCTAAAATGAGCATTTCTAATGCCTCTTTCACATTATGTACCATTTAAAGTTATTAAAATGAGGTTAGAAATATGTATAAGGACAAGGATGTCAAAACTTTAGATTTGCATTTAGTTTTATTTTAGCATAGAATTTATTTGCTCTAATTACGTTCTCACTATTAGTGGCTGACGTTATATAAATTTGCAATATCTCTCTAAAGACGCGAACACACCTAAGCATTCGGGCCGAACACAAATTTTGCTACTGACAGACTTTCTTCTGTCATATTGTTGAAAACGCGCACTGATTAAGAGCATTCATGGAGATGCCCAAATAGAAGCTCAAGTATCTCGCTCTACTGTCCATTTCAGATGTGTATGTGATACCTACTGAATCCGAATGCATATTCGGCCCGGATGCTCAGGTGTATACGGGCCATAATAACAACACACTATAGTTAAATCCGGAAATAATACAAATAGAATTTGTGAAAAATTATGGTCATATGTCAATGTACCAAATATTTTCAGAGGTTACTAGCAAGAGGAAATTTTTCAGTGGGCATATACTGCAACTCTGTCAGCATTTTTCATACCTTTCTGATATTCTATTACTACCTACTATTTTTGAACTTAACTATATCATACAGCAGTCACAAAGTTTCAGCATGTAGGGATAATATAGTCAATATAAGCAGAAGAAATAATGAACAAAATGGTTCATAAAAAACTAGAAATTTAATGAAAACAAAAGTAATGAGGAATTAAAGATAAAATACATATAATGGAGAAGTATAAGAAAGATAGAATAGCCCAGGAATATTGTAGTGAAGCCCAAACTCCAAGATGACTAAGGTATGTGTACCAGATGTCCCAAGAAACTCAAAAGACAAGCATTATTAGAAGTATGGAGAAAGAAGAGAAGGCTGATAAAAAATGGCCGGAAGCAATCAAGAGATTATGTACAACACCTGGATAATTCTTCTTCAATTTGAAGGATATCTAAACGCATTGACGTCTATAAAAATATAGCAGTAAATACAGTCAAGTGGAAGAAATAAATAAATAAAATCAAAGACGTTACGGCCGTGATCTGCATTGTATTGTATACAGGGTGTCCCATTAATGCGTAATTGTCCGATATTTCAATCTGTGTTATAGACACGCACACAAGTTTCGATTTCAAAAAGTCCTACTTTAAAAATATTTTTGGATATACAGGGTGATACACTTTGTCTGGCAAATACAAATGTGTATTTTTTAAATGGAACACTGTATTTTATTTAAGTTTAACAATGGTCTGGTAATACTACAAAATAGAGAATTATGCAGACCCCAAATAAAATTATCATAATTTAGGTAGGTTAACAATGATTTCAAAAATTTTTAGATTACAGACTTAGAACTGGTTTAATTTATACGGATGATTTTGAAAACTTCCATAAATATGGCTCATTTTAAATTCAATGTGCTTAATTTTAATGCAACACCCTGTATGTAATAATCAGTGTCGTAATGTTTAGCTGATTATTATATTCTTCATTTATATTATTAAGGCTGAATAATGGCGAATTAGCCGAAACAGGTTGTGGTTTCAATTTAATATATTTTAAGTACAATATAATTTTGAGAGGCTGCGTGCCCTTTTGTTTCTATTAAAATTGTTTGACGATATAAAAACAATCAAATCTGATATGCATTGGTTTAAAAAGAATAAGTTTGGTTCATCCCTTATTTATGGACTACATTGTATATTTAAGAATAGTTTTATAATATTGTCATCAACAGTAGGTACACAAATTCTTCATATCTTAAATAACAAAACAGTTACGCGCTGTTGGAACACGCTGTACACAAATAATAGGTTAACATGTTGGTGTCGTTGAATATGTAAATTCATAACGAATTTAATGCTAAAATATTATACAGTGGTGTTGTATTTAAAATTGTTTAGAAAATTGAACTTAAAATGAGCCACATTTATGACAGGTTTTAAAACATATAATCAAAATATAAACAAAAGCAACAAAATATTGGTCAGAACAATTTTATATTAATTTGAATTTTTATATTCAATGTTTTAAATGTTTAATTTAATAAAACTCTTCATTAGTTGGCGATATAATAGAGGAAATATGATCGTTATTAAGATCTTCAATTGTTATTAGCATAAAAAAACTTCAAGTAGTGAAATAAGGGGGTGGGTGGCTCAGTGGTAGAGTCTCTGCCTGCGGATCCAAGGGTCCCAGGTTTGAATCCCACCGTTGGCCGGGATTTTTTTATTTAATTTAATTATTTCAAATTAATTTTGATGCCTTGGTAGGATTCCCCACTCGACCATGGATTGTTGGGTTCTAATTAACAGTGCTGTTCCTGAAGTGGCGCTGGGAAACAGTGACAAAGCCTACACAGAACACACATTATTGAGAATTTAAAAACACAAACTTGAGACTGGCATATTAGGTATATACACCTATGCCATAAATTGAAAAAAAAAGTAGTGAAATATTGGTCAAAATGATTTCATAATGAATATAATTTTTATATTGTTAATTAAATGCTTCATTTTATAAAACTGACGATACAATAGGGAGAAAAATCGTCGGTTAGTTAATTAAATTATGACAGGCTGAAATCCTAAATCCTATGCATGCTCGGTAACTATGTGACCCCCCCAGCTGACGGTCTTACCCGCACTAGAAGCACAGCTAATTGTTATTTTCATAAATCTAATTATATTAAAAACACGCTGTATAAGTTTCATAATTTATGAATTAAGTTTGTATCCTCACTTTTTATTACAGATTTATTAATTTACCATTGTCAATGCATCTGACTGTTATTTTTGAATTTTGTATTATTCGAATATTAGTCCTAGAAATTTTCAAGTTTGATGAAATTAATTTTTTTGGCATGTTTTTTACCCGTTTCTAATGTTTCCATAACCAATACTTGAAAAGAAAGAAGCATTTAAACTATAAATCAGATTTGATGAAAATATCTTTTCATTTGCAGCGCTGCCTCCCGTACTAAAAAATTAATTGCTTGGCAACCCTGTAATATATTTTTTTAAATATTTTAGAGTTGAATACAGTATTAGGTATTCCAAATAAAATGGTTGTCCGTGGGCATTTATATGACAATTTTGTAGGATTTGACAAGGTTAATAATATAGAGTTATATAGAGTGAGCATAGATGTTTTTTCAAAAATATTGTTAATTATTTTTTTACTATATTCAGATGTTCAAAAAAAAGGATTTATAACACATTTTTGCTAAACCGATTCTGATCAATGAGCACTTGCAAGACAATATAGCCGCTCGCAAATGGACTCACTTTGAGCAATCTACATAACTATATCATTGACCCTATCAAAGCCCACAGGCAGTAATTTTGACAGGTCGTTGGAATGCCTAATTGCCACACGATTCTAAAACTAAAATAAAAATTTTTATTTGCTAGGCAAAAAAATATTTTGAAAATGTTTTTTTTAAACTTGTTTGCGTGTCTATAACCCAAATTGAAATATACACTAATGGGACACCTTGTATAAGTATGCATGCAAATCTCATATAATAAAAAAAAATCGCCACTAAATAATTTGAGAACCACTTTTAATGTGTTGAACAAATTACAGTTATTTTGGAGTTTGAAGATACAATAGTGTTAAGAAAATTTCTTAGCCCTTTCCATCAGAATGCTAAACAAACCTCTAATTCTGGCCTTTTTATGTGAGAATATCATATCTGATCATTTTAGCAGTCTTGATTTGCCCATTTAACAACTTTTGTGCTAGTAAGGCTTACACTCTATACATATACATTGCGATTTTTTAGTACAAATTGCTTGATGCTCATCATGAAAACCTTTAAAAAAGAATTTGTGTGAACATTTTGTACATGGAAAAATTGTTTTAGTAAGTGAGTGATGCTTTTTATTGAAATGTGTGTTAAAATTATTAACTTCTTTCATACAAACTGCACAAATGCTAGTCTGATAACGTAAGTGCTGTTTCAACATATCAATAACAGAATTTTCTGATTTTTCTGATTTTTTTTTATCATCCTCTATTGATTTTTTGGATCTTGTTTCATCACCCTGCATTGGTTTTTTTGATTTCAGTTTTTTTGTGCAGTTTGAAGTAGATATTCCTGTTGGATATTCTTCATCATCTGAAGAATCGAAACCAATTCTATTTCTTATAACTTTCTTAGGACTTTTAGATTTATTAGAAGATTCTTTGTTCGTTGACTCTGGTACGGTGTTGCTTTTATTTTTTGATGTAGTGATTTCTTCTGTAGCTGTAAATTCTTCAGATAAACCCCCTGAGCTACTATTTTGAACAACGTCGAGTTCTGGTGAGCTGGGAGAGTCCATTTGTGTGGGTTGTTGTGAGGCAGCTGGAGATTCTTCAGTTTGCATTAGTCCTTGTGAAATATTTCTACAGTTAGCAATTTCTTCCAAATTTGTAAATTCTTGTGAGATGTTTGTATTAAGTATATCCAAAGTTTCAAGTTGTGGTGAAACATTTATAAATGGATTTTCAACATTCGTAAGTAGAGACTCTTGAAAATTAGTTCTTGGGGCAATTGTAGGAGAATCATTTATAATTGCAGGTTCTTCAATTATAAATTCTGGAGACTGTATATCATATGCTTCTATAGTTGGAGATTCCATGATGGTGTGGTCTAGTATATTAACTTTGTTTTTTTTTGTATTTAAAGCCTCTTCTTGAATTGAAGGTCCTTGTAACTCAAGATTATTTGAAGGTTTTATTGTTGAAGATGCAAATGGATTAACATGTCCTAAAATATAAGACATACCAGTTTAAATATAATCGGATTTTTTAGGCCGTACTTTTTAATAATGTGATACATTTGAATCGGTCATTTGAGAAACGACACATGTCACATTTTTGACAAAAATACAATATTTAAAGGTAAATTATAATTATTGAATTATACCCAAAATAGAGCAAGTTTTAAACGCTAAGTGTACAAAACTATTTTTTAACCATGTTTTGAGATTTTCACTTTTTCTTATTTTTTGAAAAATGATTTACAACTGACATGTGATGTTACTCAAATGACCGATTCATTTATGTTCTATATGTTTATGTATTGATAAAAAAAATTGATATTTTTTGAGGAAGAATAAAAAAATATTTAATTTTTTTAATAAAATTTGTTTTTTATCTGTTTTTAATATTATTAGTTTTACAAACAAGTGATAAAGAAATGAAAGTGTAGTAATGTAACATTCTCGAGCACGTATTTTTGGAAAAAGTTCCCCAAGCACGAACGAGCATGAACAAGAATAAACGAGCATAAATGAAAAAAAACCCTGGGAATTTATGGTTGAGGGGGGGGTGGTAAATAATTAAAAAACTTTACTTTCCTAAAATATTTAGACCCAAAATATTCTCCTAACGCTTTATAAGAAAATGACACTGTATTAATATTTTGTGTTGCAAATAATACAGTAATAACTTCTAACATTAAAAAATTTATTTATTAAAAAAATTAAGTAACATAATATAAGAAATGACAAAGAAAAGTAAAGTGAGAAAATAGGGTTGAGATCCAAAAAAATAAGATGCAATTATAGAAATAAGAAAATATATAGATCCCAATTCCCCCTAAGAAATTATGAAAAAGTGAAAACAAACCAAAGAAAAATTGAAAAAAGCTGACGAGATTCGGAATCTGATTTTAAATGTACGAGTTCGACTGTCACAGCAATGTGCTTCGATCACCCGACTGGTAGAGGCGCCGACGGTCTAGTCGAAAGGTACCAGGTTCGATACCTGGTCAATGCAATCATTTTTTCTTTTTTAATTATTAGCTTTGTCAATTTTTCTTAGATTTTTCACTTTAGGGATAATGGGGGTGTATTTTTCATCATTTTTAGGGGGAAATGGGGATTATATATTTACAAATTTCCCAAATTGCATTTCAGTTTTTCGAAAATCAACCGATTTTCTTACTGTAACAACATCGAACCACACACACTGAATTTTCGACTCGTTGCTTAAGGTTAGGCATGTCTTAACTAAAAAAAATACCAAAATTAAACAAGGGAGTTTACTACCACAGCATAAGGGTGATAAGTCATGCAATGACATGGATGAAGCACACTAATTGGCTGAGATCGTACTAAACATTCTTGTTCATGATGAATGTGCTCTCTGGGGAACGTTCGCCAATAATGATAGATCGTTTGTGTGTGGAAGAACGTTCGCGAACGTTCCCGCACAGCACGAAGGGAATGTTCCCTCCTTTGCATCACTATGAAAGTGTATCCCTGTTGTTTATATAAAACTATAATAAGTATCTTATGATATTTTAGATCATTTACTTATAACTTACTTTTATTTGATCCTTCTTCAGGCAGTTTAGAAGTTTTAAACTAGAAAATAAAAATATATTGGTTATTACAATGTTTTTGAGGTACATAGCTGGAATACTTTACTACAGCTTTGAAACACTGAAGTGAAGCTGATAGGCTGATCATTTGCTTTATTTTAGACTTTAAATACTATTAAAGTAAACAAAATGTAATATGTGTGTAAATTACAAAAATGTTTCAAGTAAGTGACAAAGGGTATCTATAAAATTGTATTATATTGTATTGTATGAAACCCTCTTTTAATAAAACTGAGTATTATTAAGATTTATTTTGTATACATTGGTTTTCTAGATATACACGTATTAATGTCATATACTAACCAAATTTTTTTTAATAACTTCTGCTTCTTCCAATTTCTTTCTCCTACTTACTGAGATTTGGGAAAGATGTTTTAATGGTGATAAGTTTACAATACTTTCATTAGGATTAGTTTGAGCTGGTTTAGGTTGAATCACAGATTTACTATGTAAAGTTTTCTTTTTCTTTTTGATTACATAGCCATTTAGCGTTGAGTCTACTTCAGCATCATTCAAGACCCTTTTTTTCTGAGTGGGTGACTTTGTTCGAGTTGTTTTCTATTAAAAAATATTTTTTTCAAGATTTAATAAGTTCTTAAAAGAAAAATAATTTAAGAAATTTTAAAACCAATAAGAAAATAAAAGATAAAATGCATAAAGGCATTTGTGTTAATGTTTTGGATATTTAGGTTTAATTTTCTCAATATTATGTTTTTAAATTATCATAAATCAAAACTAAGTCCTGTCTTTAAACATAGCTCTTTTAAAATATTTAAATATACTCTTGTATTAAAACTGTATGAGACTTAATTTTTTAATTTTATTTCAATTAAATTATTTTTTTAATGAAATATCTGAACCGTATCTTAAACATTTACCTGTATATCAGTTTCGTTCTTTACATTTCTTGGATCAGATTGGGATGAATCACATATTTCATCATTGTCACTATCAGATAAAATCACAACAGGAACGATAGGTTTTATCTAAAAATAAAGAATGAAATAATGGTAAAATCAAGAAAAATATTATGAACATGTAACTGATTTTTTATAATCATGTACAACGAAAACATTTAGAAAAAGCAGATTAATTTTAATTATACTAGTTATGGACAAGGATCTCATATTGGCCCTGGTCTAATTTTATTGTTTCTGAACGACCCAACAGATTATTTTCAAAACAGTGACTGCCTGTTATTTGTAGACGACCTTAAGTTTTTTAGTGACATCTTAGCTTTACAATCGGATCTCGATCGCTTCACCATGTGGTGCAAACTAAACCATTTGTCCCTAAATATCAATAAATGTACTACAATTCACTTCACAAGATCTCCCAACCCTGCTCTGAACTCTTACAAGGTCGATAATGTCACATTAAAAAATTCATCTTCAGTAAACGATCTCTGCATCATCTTTGACACAAGTTTATCCTTAAACCTGAATATCGAGTCTATTGTGTGCAAAGCTTTTAGAATGCTTGGCTTTATTAAACGTCACTCACATCACATAAACGACACCAAGGCTATTACATCCCTATACTACTGTTTAGTCAGAAGCAATCTAGACTCCCTAGCTACCAGACAACGACTTTCAGAAGGTCTCCTTTGTATAACTGAATTACTACCTATAATGCTTTGCCTGAAAAACTAAAATCACAAGCAACATACAAATCTTTTAAAAAAAAAAGTTAAACTATACCTACAAAAAAGCTCTTTTTACTCTATTACGGAATTTATCAATAAAACTGTGTGATACAGGTCTGCAAAAATAAATTATTATTATTATTATTATTATTATTATTGTTGTTGTTGTTGTTAAATTTTACATTTATATATTTATTGTATGACTTGCCTTGTGTATCTTTTTATGTAATGAAGGTTAATAAATTATTCTATTCTAATACTGTTCTATAATCTGGCTACCCAATTACACATGTCACATAAATAGGATAGGAAGGGTATATCACAAGGTTTTTAAATATCTTCTATTTAAATTTCGGTACAGGATAATGAAGCTAAAGTTACTCATGAAGCAAAAAAGTCAAATGTGAATCAAATAGTATATTGGTGAAAAAGGTTTCAAAAAAAAATTGTAAAATTTTAGATATGTAAGAAGCTTACTTGGGAGAAACACCTGTCATAAGAAAGTTGATAAAATAATAAAAAAGGTACTCTCAATTTTTGAGTAATATAACAGGGGCAGAAGTTGGAAAGACTTTTGGTAGGTAGAGAGGGGGTAAATGTCAAACCACATCGGAAGACTTCGAGAATTTCACATTAATGTTTACCTGCCAGTGTCGTATCATAAAATAAGTAATTTTAAATTGATACCAACAGAACCGGACAATTGCATGTATTTATGGACTAAACATAATTATTAAACAAGTATTATAATCATAATTCTACAAAATTTCAATAATTATTCACTATTTACATGAATTGTTATTAATATCTATAAAATAATTTTGTACGCCAATGTATCCTGTCTACTTCCAGTAGCTCTGCTGCAAACCTGTCAATTTATGTGTATAAAGTGGGAGAACTGCGAAAAGCCTTTCCAACTTCTGCCCCTATTATATCACTCGACATGGCCTAATCAACAAATTACTTAGGTCAGGTTTTTTCTGTACCTAGATTTTTAGGTTCTTTACTAATTTTTAACATTCCGTTTAGTTTTACCACTGATAAACTTTTTGATGTTGATATTACTGATACGTGATACCTAAGGGCAATTAAAAAATAAATATCTTATTTATTTTTCACTTTTTTTGTGCAAAATGCAATTTTTTATTAATAATTTTTGACAGACAGTGTCCGGTACTCTTTCCAATAAACATTGCTAATGTCAAAGTGAAAACTACAAAGAGTTAGCATTAACGTGAACAGGAAAGAAAGATCAATGACTGCAGGGGGATATCTCTCGTTGTGTGGATATTCCATCACATCATAGATGATCATTTTATTTCAAGCATTCAAGGTTGATTGATTGATTGTAAAAGATATAAGCTAATTACGTATTTTTTTATTTAATCTTGTTTGAAATAAATCAATGTTACATTTTCAATAATCTAAAAGAAAACTTAATTTTAGATTATAAATGTAACAATGATGAATTATTTTTATAGAATTGTTAATTGTCAAAACTTTTATTTTAATTTTCCAGAATTGTTTATTTTTAGAATATCAACCCTAATTTTTTTACGGAAGGGTGATTAAACTTCAATATAATTGATAATTGTTACATTTAAAAATAAGTTCCCTTTTGGATTATTGAATATGTAACATTAATTTATTTCAAACAAGATGAAATAAAAAATAAGTAATTAGGTAGGAGCTCATAGCTTTACAATCCATCAATCAATCTCAAATTCTAGAAATGAACTGACTGTCTGTATTGTGTGATGTGAATAGGCACACAATGACAGATCCCCACATGACCCAGCTGTTTAAACTGGCAACATTGATAATATTTGTCTCCTGCTCGCAGTAATGCTAACTCTCTGTAGTTTTCACTATGACATTAGCAAAGCATATTGGAAAGCACATTCACTGTATATGAACGAAAAACCTTAAAATTCTAAATAATTCAGAAACCTATTTTTTAATTCTTGGGTTTTAGACAAATTAAACTATAATTTAATAATTATATTCTAATCTTTACTAATAAAATTCTTACCTCTACACAATCCGAATCTGGTAAAATTTTTGGGGTATCAAAAAAATACGTTATAGCACTTTTTACTTCTTTCTCGATTTCTTTGAAATATCGTGAATCACCCCTATACATGAATTCTATTATTACCTTCAAAACCTCAATAGAAAACTGAGGTAGATTCACTACTTTTTCCTGAAATGAATATTGTATTACCAAATGTTGGATCATATTTTAGTCAGTCTGTTACTTTACCTCTTTGTGTTCTTGAGATGATAGTAAGTTTTTAAATACATCATTTTTTTCAACTAATATTGTACTATGCGCCTTTATACTTCCATTTGATCCTATTATTAAAGTGTCAACGTATTTCTGGATGGAATAATTAAAAAACAACAATTCTTTTAAATTATACGAAGGATGCACTAATCTAATTTTTAAGTTGTCCATAGTAGATTTATTATTTATATTAAATATTTTAATACTATTCCACAAAACTTAATTGAAATTCACTTTTCACTTGTTATAGGTTATGTTTATATTGTTTGATTGTTTTCTTCGTTTTTCTTCTTTATTGTTTTATTAAGAACCTTGAACTTTATGTGTATCTAGCCATTAATAAAAAGTGGGCCAATTAATATGTTTAAATAATTACTTTGACTTTAATTAATAGATATATAACTTAATATTAACATTTTTAAACATTTTTATAATGCTATTATTGTGGCTTGTAGCCTTACGTTTACGGTTTGCGTTGCGACGCCCTATTCCTAAAATCGATACTTTCGTTTGTTGAAACGGTTCGGTATCAGTCGGCATTCAGTAGTCGGCATTCGTCATGCGTAAAGCAATAAGATTCAAATTCCAAATCTTGTATATTTTTAGTTTTTCTATGTGTATATCCTTTCTACATGTCTTTTATTGTTTTTTTTTTATTACACTGATCATTCCTTCATGTCCTGATCTAGGTGTGTATATCGTGTTACAGATCAGTGGTACCCCGGAAATCTTTTTTGTTTCAGCAACTTTTTGTGACCTTTTGACGGGCCGATTATAAAGAACCGGTCTTCAGCTCCTTGTGTATACCTTGTGTTGCAAAAAGTTTGCACAAGTATGTAAAACATTTTTGTTTTATAACAACCGAATATAAACTTCCTAAAATTTGAATTAATTTTGGCAATAATTATTATGGGAAGCTAATGTGCAAAGTGTTGTCACATAGGTACCTATAGGTATTTTAGTTATTGTTTGTGCCATGAGTTTAACTATTATTTAATTTTAAGCTTTGAGGTGCGGGAAACAGTAGATTTAAAATAAATTGCATATATGGTACAAATTGATTACGATTACGATTTTGAATTCCTTTCCAGCGAAATTTTAAATTGGCCTTTCTACCTACCTAGTTTTTATCCATATGCTTGTTGTGAGACATTTTCCCCGGTAAATTATTTACTCCCCAGACAGTTCACGTCCTTTTTGGATATATTTGAGGATCAGAACGTTCATTGCAGTATTTGGACGTCAAGTGTACGTCCATTTATGAACATTAATTTGACAGCTGATGCACATCAACAACCAGTTGAGACATCCGGTTGTAGACATAAGTACAAGATTAATAAAATAGTACTTATATTTTAACGTCCACTAGACATTTGTATTAAATTACTCAAAATTTCCCTTGAGTGAGAAAACTATATTTTGCGCTGATAGATGCTGCAGGTGTTCATAGAATGTTTTCTTGGCTTTGATTTAAACTTATTATATGTTATTAAAATGAGATTTTTAAATTCGGCAACGCAATGTTCAGATTGAATAATAAATTATATTGTTATTCTTGTTTACTATACATTATTTATACGCGATGGATCATAAAGAGAGTAACTGAAGAATCTGTTATAAAATGCTTTTCATTTTTGAACACACACCTTGTTTATGGCGAGTTTTGCGGAATGACAGGTTGTGTATTGAGAAGTAATGTGGGCTAGAGATGGAAAAAAGAGGAGAGGGTAGTCTTAATAAGTAATCATATATCATATAAATATATAAATGCGAAAGTTTGGATGGATGTATGTATGTTTGTTGCTCAATCACGCAAGAACGGCCGAACGGATCTGGATGAAATTTAACACAAATATAGATTATAGCCTGGAATAGCACATATGCTACTTTTTATCCCGGAAAAATGTACGGTTCCCGTGGGATCGATTTGTTTTTGTTTTTCACGGAGCAAGGGATCGGACATAATTTTTGGCATAGTGGTAGTGAAACATGAAAATTTGAAATACTGCTACTGAGCATAAATAGATAGTGACGTGTTTCAGAGTTTTTGGTTTTTCACATTTTACGGGGGGGAAACGGGGGTTAAAAGTTAGCATGGAAGTATCAATTTTTTAGTGGTAGGAACTGGAAAATTGGAATTATAGCGACTTATCACAAATAAATAATGGTGTTTCAGGTTTTTGGATTTTCATATTTTAAAAGAGGAAAGAGGGAAAATGGGGGTAAAAGGGAAAATAAGGGAAAGAAGGAAAATGGGGGAAATTGGGGAATGAGGGAAATTGAGAAAATGGGGGAAATGTGTAGGAAGTAAATGTTTGTATGGTAGGAACTTAAAAATTGGAATTGTAGGTACTCTTCATAAATAAATAGACATATTTTAAAGTATTTGGATTTTGCATATTAAGGGAGGAAACGGAAGGTGAACATTTGAATAAGACTTTCGGTTTTACAATTGTAGAAATTTGAAAATTGGAATTGTAGCATAAGTAAATAATGACGTATTTCAAGGTTTTTAGATTTTCACATTTTAAGGAGGAAGGAAAAAATTATTAAAAATTTAAAAAAATTCATTAATAAAAATTAATAAAAATTAGTAAAAATCAATAAAAATTAATAAAAATTAATAAAAATTGATAAAAATTAATAAAAATTGATAAAAATTAATAAAAATTAATAAAAATTAATAAAAATTAATAAAAATTAATAAAAATTAATATAAATTAATAAAAATTAATAAAAATTAATAAAAATTAATAAAAATTAATAAAAATTAATAAAAATTAATAAAAATTAACAAAAATTAATAAAAATTAATAAAAATTAATAAAAATTAATAAAAATTAATAAAAATTAATAAAAATTAATAAAAATTAATAAAAATTAATAAAAATTAATAAAAATTAATAAAAATTAATAAAAATTAATAACAATAATTAATAAAAATTAATAAAAATTAATAAAAATTAATAAAAATTAATAAAAATTAATAAAAATTAATAAAAATTAATAAAAATTAATAAAAATTAATAAAAATTAATAAAAATTAATAAAAATTAATAAAAATTAATAAAAATTAATAAAAATTAATAAAAATTAATAAAAATTAATAAAAATTAATAAAAATTAATAAAAATTAATAAAAATTAATAAAAATTAATAAAAATTAATAAAAATTAATAAAAATTAATAAAAATTAATAAAAATTAATAAAAATTAATAAAAATTAATAAAAATTAATAAAAATTAATAAAAATTAATAAAAATTAATAAAAATTAATAAAAATTAATAAAAATTAATAAAAATTAATAAAAATTATTAAAAATTAATAAAAATTAATAAAAATTAATAAAAATTAATAAAAATTAATAAAAATTAATAAAAATTAATAAAAATTAATAAAAATTAATAAAAATTAATAAAAATTAATAAAAATTAATAAAAATTAATAAAAATTAATAAAAATTAATAAAAATTAATAAAAATTAATAAAAATTAATAAAAATTAATAAAAATTAATAAAAATTAATAAAAATTAATAAAAATTAATAAAAATTAATAAAAATTAATAAAAATTAATAAAAATTAATAAAAATTAATAAAAATTAATAAAAATTAATAAAAATTAATAAAAATTAATAAAAATTAATAAAAATTAATAAAAATTAATAAAAATTAATAAAAATTAATAAAAATTAATAAAAATTAATAAAAATTAATAAAAATTAATAAAAATTAATAAAAATTAATAAAAATTAATAAAAATTAATAAAAATTAATAAAAATTAATAAAAATTAATAAAAATTAATAAAAATTAATAAAAATTAATAAAAATTAATAAAAATTAATAAAAATTAATAAAAATTAATAAAAATTAATAAAAATTAATAAAAATTAATAAAAATTAATAAAAATTAATAAAAATTATTAAAAATTAACACGAAATCACGCGTGCAAAGCCACGGGCAAAAGCTAGTGCAATATACAGTGAGCATCATAAGTCTTACCCCCCTAACTAACTCGTTACTGGGGTCTTGTTAGGAAAATCGCCGAGACAGGTCGATTTTTGATTTATACAATGTACATTTTTGTATAATTAGTTTACCCTTAATTTCATCCCTTATTTGAGGGTAGCAACCCTTTCGAAAAATTTAAATAGCATGGGGTGGTGAGTGATAGCTCATTTGAAAGGGGGTTTTATTCTCTATTCAACTGTGCAAAAAAATTTTAAATGTGCTTTATTACGTGTTGATTTATTAATGTTTAAAAATAACAAAACCTCACAAAATAGGAAAGCAACTAGACTAACAGTGACCTTCTAATGGCAAAAAGTCTGAATCAAAACCGAAATCATGCAGGGCCGAATTTTAATTCTAAGGATGAGTGCGCTACGTTAATTTCCGTTATTCTGAAACAACAATTAGTCGAGAATTAATAAAGCAAATTTCAAATTTTATTACACGGCTGAATAGAGAATAAAACCCTCTTTCAAATGAGCTATCACTCATAACCCCATGCCATTTAAATTTTTCGAAAGGGTTGCTCCACTCTAGTAAGGGATGAAATTAAGGGTAAACTATTCATACAAAAATATACATTGTAGAAATCAAAAATCGACGTGTCTCGGCGATTTTCCTAACAAGACTCCAGTAGCGAGTTAGATAGGGGGGGTAAGACTTATGGTGGCTCACTGTGTATGGCACTGGTTATTTGTTTAACGTCCATTAGATGTCGGAAGTCCAGAAAAACCTATTTTTGGACGTCCACACATACGAAAAATGTATATCGAATGGACATCCAAGTTAGTTACCTTAAAATTATGAAACAGAGCTCTAAGATAGAGCGTCACTGTGAATTTAGTGATTGCTTTTGTAATTGTGTATTTATTTTGTAAATATATTAGTTCTGTGCCTACCTCTAGATAAAGCCTTCTCTTGACCACGCGAATATCCTAAATTCCTTTCATTAAAGTAACGAAAAATCAACAATCTAGATTTTTGATTTAAAATTCACATTTTATCATAAAACCATAAGCACACATCTTTAATATCCTTGCCCTACTTTTTAAGAATACTCATAAAGTGAATCAAACCACTACGTTTTTAAATTTTAATCTCAATGAAATTTTATGAGTGTCAGTCGTAGAATATTGACCGTTTCATTTAATATTTTAAAACGTGCAACTTTTATAGTTCAGCTTAAACCCAAAGAAGAGCGAAGAATAAATCTCTCTGGCTGTCGTAAAAGTACCCTAGAAAATTGCTGATTAATAATCTACATTAGTATCTATAGTAAAACAGTTATCAACAATAATACCAAAATTATTTAATTCTGAGGATATCTGATTAATCAGATTATACTGAGGCTAGTATCAAGTATCACTGAATAGTCTCGCCGATTTAATTTTTTTATCAGGGATTCGAGAGAAAATTTCATAAAATGAGAATAATTAATGACTGATTTACCTAACATGTGAGGTCTGGAGCCATTGATTGTTGCTATAAAAAAGAATAAACATAAAATAATAAATAATTCACTAATTTCTTAATATAATGCTTTCGCAAGCACGCACGTACGCACACACACACACACACACACACACACACACACACACACACACACACAAACACACACACACACAAACACACACACAAACACACACACAAACACACACACAAACACACACACAAACACACACACAAACGCACATACAAACACAGTCACAAACACACACAAGACATCATCGCGAAAATAGTTCAAACGGATTAAGGGATAACAATCAATGATTAAAAAAAAATCGGTATGATACGTTTGTGGATAATTTAAGTTATATACAGTGTAAATAGTTTCGAAGAAAGCCTATTAAATTGTCTGAGCTGCACTTTTGGAAAATGTCTTTAAGATTTCCGGAAATTCTGTTATTCAGTCTTTCTGCACTATTTAACGGACACTCCACTGATGTATGATTTACCGATAGAGGTATATCACACGCGAAACACATAGGTTGAGGTTCCTTTGTTATGAGGTGTAAATGGGTGGCGCGGGTATGTCCAAGTCAAAGTCTCGTCCTGATGACTTGGTGAAATCGATTGGTAGATGTATCGTCCCACATTTGAAACGATGGTTTAACTTCCAGTAGTTATGACAGATATTTGTTTCCATATCTGATTCTAGAGTTTCATTATCTTGAGTTTGAAAAACGCTTGTAAATCGGCTGCTACTGTTGTGATGATATTTGTTAATGTCTTATCATTAACAGCCTCTTTTGCTTGTTTATCAGTCAATTCATTACCTGTTATCCTTGTATGAAAAAGAACCCAAAGACTCTTTCCTTATTTTAAGGTTTCTGAATTTCCTATTAATAAGCTGTTTTATAGGATATTGAGTATATATTTTAGTTACAATCAGGGCCGACTAGAGGGGGGGTAGCCGGGACTAATTCCCGGGGCCCGGACTCA